CACACACACACACACAGAGGGAAAGTGAGAAAGCAAGCCCCCCCACACACACACACACAGAGGGAAAGTGAGAAAGCAAGCCCCCCCACACACACACACACAGAGGGAAAGTGAGAAAGCAAGCCCCCCCACACACACACACACAGAGGGAAAGTGAGAAAGCAAGCCCCCAGGTCTAGGACTTGAACCATGGTCAGCCATGTGGGAGTGTCCAGCACCTTAACCACCATGCCACCTGCTGGTCCCTCATTACAGTATTCTTTTGTTTTGTTTTGTAGGGACTTTTGCTATAGAGTGTGCACGCTCGCTAAAAAGAGAGAGACAGAAGGCAAGAAATCACCCCCGGGGGGATGGCCACACTGCAATCCCTTCTCCATTCTCCTCTTGGGATCTTGGGCACGCACGCACATGCACCCAGCATGAGTTTAAGCCACCGGGTCCAGGACTCGAACCACGGTCAACCACATGGGAGTCCAGTGACATAGCCATTATGCCATCTGCCGATCCCATCTTTTTTTTTTTTAACTTTGTTTCCCTCCCCCCAAAGAGTTATTTATTCAACTTTATTTATTATTATTATTTAATTCAGCAGAGAGAGGGAAAGGGAGAAGGTAAGTTGCCGTGTCTGGGATGCAAACTGTGGTTGGCCGTGTGGGAATCCAGTGCCCTAACTGCCACATCATCTGATGGCCCCAAGCTTTTTTATCTTGAAGTAATTTCAAAATTATACAAAATGTTACAAAAATTGTAGAAGAAATTTCCAATATTCTTCACCTAGTCTACCAGTCGTTAACATTTCGCCACATCTGCCTAATTACTCTTTATTTGTATATGTATCTAAACTACTTTGTTTTCCTGAACCATTTGAACATTAGTTGGACTCAGCATTCTCCTTTACTCCCAAATATTTCAACACATTTTACAAGAACAAAGACATTTAAATATAACCATAAGGTAGTTACTGGGGCCAACAGGTGATATAGTGGTTAAGGCATTGGATTCCCACGTGGCTGACCACAGTTCAAGTCCCAGACCTGGAGGCTTACTTTCTCACTTTCCTTCTC